GGAAGGTCATCCCAAAAGACCCAGGAAGGGATCCCCAAACGAACTAGGAAGGCACCAAGAGAATAGGAAGGTATCCCCAAAAAGATATTATAAAGGTTTTTCCAAGAGCATAGGAAGGTATCAAGAAAAATAGGGAAAATTCCAACAGTTATTTGAAAGGTATCCCAAACAGCTAGGAAGGTCCAAACAAATAGGAAGGCATCCAAGCAAATAGAAAGGTATCCAAGCAGAATGGAAGGTCTCCAAAAAAAATAGGAAAAGGGCTCAAAACTGAAAGGGTTTAAAAGACATAAAAAAGGTATAAGCAGATATGAAAATATCCAAACAGAAAGGAAGGGTTTTCCAAGCAGACACAGAAGGGCATCAAGCGTTACTGAAGGGCTCCCAAAAGACACTAGGGGAAGGGATCAAGGTTATTAGAAAGGTTTATAAGCAGAACTAGGAAGGTCTCCAAAACAGACATAGGGAAAGGGATGAAAAAAGTTTTAGAAAAAGGGAACCCCAACGACATAGGGAAGGGATCCAAGCATTATTAGAAATATCCCAAAAAGGGAAATAGGTAGGTCATCCCAAACAGTTTTTAGAAAGGTTATCCAAACAAAAAATAGGGAAGGGATCAAGCGAATAGGGAAGTCATGAAGCGTTTTAGAAAGGTTATTCAAACAGACATAGGAAGGTCATCCAAACAGTTTTGAAAGGTCATCCCAAAAGACATGGTAGGATCCAAGCAGACCCTAGGAAGGTACAAGGGACACTGAAGGGCATAAGCAGAACAGGGGGTCATCCCAAAAGAAAAAGGAAAGGGCACCAAGCAGACCTAGAAGGTATCCAAAAGGATAGGAAGGGCATCCAAACAGAAATAGAAGGTTTCCATGCAGAACTAGGGGTTCCCCCCCCCCCCCCCCCCCCCCCCCCCCCCCCCCGGGGGGCCCCCCCCCCCCCCCCCCCCCCCCCCTAAATCCCAAAAGCCTAGGAAGGTCATCCAACAGAACTAGGGGTTTCCCAAACTGACCTAGGAAGGGCAAAAGCGACATAGGGAAGGGTTTAAGTGACACTAGGAAAGGGATAAGAGATAGGAAGGTCCCCCAAACGCACTAGGAAGGAAACCAAGTGACACTAGGAAAAGGGCATCCAAGCGAATAGGAAGTCATCCAAGCAGACTAGGAAGGTATCCCAAGAGAATAGGAAGGGATCCAAGGACACAGGGAAAGGTATCCCAAAAGACACTAAAGGTCAACCGCGAATAGGGAAAGGGATCCCCAAGAGTTTTTAAAAGTTATCCCAAAAGGGCCCCAAAGGAAGGTTACCAGCAGACACTAGGAAGGGTTTAAGAGAATAGGAAAATTATCCCAAAAGAACTAGGAAGGTATCCAAGAACATAGGAAGGAAAGAGAATAGGAAGGTTTTCAACAAAACTAGGAAGGGCATCCCGAGACATAGGAAAGGGATCCAAGCAAAATTATTTTGAAAAGGGATCCAACGACATAGAAAGGGCTAAGAGAATGGAAGGTCATCCCAACAGAATAGAAGGCATCCCGCAGCATAGGAAGGTATCCAAGAGGGGATAGGAAAGGTATCAAAGAGAACAGGAAGTTATTAAGCAGACATAGGAAGGTATAAGCAGTTTTTAGAAAGGTTATAAGCAGCACAGGGGTCATCCAAACAGACACTAGGGGAAAATCATCAAAAGACCCTAAAAAGGGATCCCAAACAACCTAGGAAGGGATCCCAAAAGAATAGGAAAGGGCAAAAGCAGACATAGGGAAAGGGATCCAAGCAGTTTTTAGAAAGGGGTTTTTCAAAAGACATAGGAAGGTATCCAAGCAGACAAGGAGGTCCCAAGCAGACATAGGGAAGGGATCCAAGCATTATTAGAAAGGGGTTTTCCAACAGAAATAGGGAAAGGGCTCCGCAGACAAGGAAGGTCTCCCCGCAGACACTAGAAAAATCATCCAAAAAAACATGGAAGGTTCCAAACGGGGACTAGGGGTTCCAAGGGGACACTGAAAAGGGCATCCAAGCAGACATAAAAAGGTCATAAGCGACATAGGAAAGGCATCCCAACAGACCTAGGGAAAGGGTTTTCAAACAACACTAGGAAGGTCACCAAGGTTAAGGAAGGGATCCAACAGAAAGGGAAAGGGATCCCAAAAGTTATTAGAAAGGTTACCAAGCAGACATAGGAAGGTATAAACAAACCCCAGGAAGGTCATGCAACAGTTATTAGAAAGGTTTTTCCAAGGCAGGGGTTTTTTTATCCCCCCCCCCCCGGGGCCCCCCCCCCCCCCCCCCCCCCCCCCCAACCCCAACCCCCCCCCCCCCCAAACCCCCCCCCCCCCCCCCCCCCCTTTCCCCCCCAACCCGGAGGCATCCCAAACAGATAGAAGGTCATCCCGCGACCTAGGATGTTATCCAAGCGACACTGGAAGGGCTCCCAAACAGCACTAGGAAGGGATCGCAGTTATAGGGGAAAGGGATCCAAGAGACCTGGAAGGGCATCCAAGCAGTTATTAGAAAGTATCCAAGCAGAATAGGAAGGGATCCAAGAACAAGGAAGGTTTTTCCAGAGAATAGGAAGGTTTCCCAAACAGCACAGGAAGGGTTTCCCAAAAGGGCATAGGAAGGCATCAAAAGGGCACGGGAAGGTTTTTCAAGAAACACTAGGGAAGGTATCAGAGACATAGGGGAAGGTATCCCAAACAGATTGAAAAGGGATCCCAAATAAAATGGGAAAGGGATCCCGAGAAAGGAAGGTTCCAAGCGACATAGGAAGGTATCCAAGGTTAGGGAAGGGTTTTAAGCGGCAGGAAGGATCCAAAAAGACACTAGGAAGGTTATCCAAACAGAACTAGGAAAGGGACCCAACGTTTTTAAAAGGTTTTCCAAACAGCATAGAAGGTATTAGCAGAATGAAGTATCCAAGCAAAAAGAAGGTCATAAGAGACATAGGAAGGTCATCCCAAAAGAATGGAAAAGGGATCCCAAAAGAATAAAAGGTATTTTAAGCAGACAAGGAAGGTCATCCCAAACAGACACTAGGAAAGGGCATCCAAGAATTATTTGAAGGTTATCCAAACGGGCAAGGAAGGGCATCCCAAGCAGACAAGGGGAAGGTATCCCAAACAGACATAGGAAGGATCCAAAACAGTATGAAAAGGAAACCAGAACACTAAAGGGGCTCCAGCGACTAAAAGTCTCCAAGCCAAAATAGGGAAGGTTAAACAGTTACTAGGAAGGTTTATCAAGCGACACTAGGAAGGGTTATCCAAGCAGACCAGGAAGCATCCAAGCAGAACTAGGAAGGTATCCAAGAGTATAGAAGGGATCAAGAGACACAGGAAGGCATCCCAAACAGTAAATAGGAAGGTCATAAAAAGACATAGGAAGGTCACCCAAAAGATAGGGGGTCATAAAAGCACTAAGAGGTTCCAAACAGACATAGGGAAATCATCCCAAAGTTACGGAAGGTCATCAAGATTTTAAAGGGAAGGTCATCAAAAGGGAGACCTAGAAGGGCATCCCGCAGACATAGGGAAGGGCATCCCAAAAGTTATAGGGAATTCCAACCCCAAACAGTTAACTTTTAAAGGGTCCCTAAGCAACTATAAGGTTTAAAATCCAAGCAAACCTAGAAGGGATCCAAACAGAATAGGGGGTCACCAAAACGAAATAGGGAAGGGCATCCCAAAAGTTACTTGGAAGGGGATCCCAAACAGAATAGGAAGGTCCCCCCCCCCCAAGCAGTTATAGGAAGTTTCCCAAACAGTTACTAGGAAGGTCTCCAAGCAGTTATAGAAGGTTCCCAAGCCCCGTTTCTAGGGGTCATAAGCATTTTTACTAGGAAGGGTCTCAACAAATTAGGATATAAGGTTTGGGGAAAGAGGGCATTTTTTCCCAACGCGGGTCTAAAATTTAGGAAAAACCCCAAAGGAGTTTTAATCCAGCTTACGGAATCCGCATTACACAGGTACCCTTTAAAATAAGGGTTTTAAACAAAATTTTCTTCGGCCAGAATGAAATAAAAACTGCAAACTTTTCCGGTTACTTCTGGGATTTAAAACTTTTTTCTTACTGGTTTTATCCAAGAGTTACTACTGCGAAAACATCCAAAAACATTACTACCCCATTCATGGCCAGCAGTTACACGGATCTCCCAACAGTTTAATACCGGGAAAGCGAAATAGCGACATAACATTTATACCTTTAAGAGCAAAAAAAGTGGTAAAAAACTAATATGGCCCCAATGTTTGGGGGGAGTTTGGGGACAAAGTTCGAAAGTTCTCAAAGAGCTACATTCTGAATAAAGTTTTTTTTTAAATTAATTTTTTTTGTTTTTAAATGGTTGTAGGATCCCCTTTTATGTAAATTTTTTACTATCTGTCTTTGAATTAAGTCTTAAATACCAATTGTGAATTTAATTGAGCAAACCCTGTACCTTAAAGTTAAGAGAATCATTTCTTCATCAAACAAGAAAGAGTAATTTTGAAGAAAAGGTTAAAAATATTTTAAGTTTTAAGGGTTAATGTTATTTTAAAACTATACTGGGCCAGTTTTTTTGGGGGGGGGGGGGGTTTTGGGGGTTTTTTATCGGAGTCTCGCGCCTGTTTCAATCAAATTATTGCTACTGCCTGATAAGTGGTGATCGACCTCCTGGAACACCTATCGAGATTCCTTTTTTTTGTTTTTAAAGTTAGGTCTGTCAGGAATGCCCAGTATATGTGAAGGGAGGGTGTTGAAATATCTTGGACTCTTTTTCGTACTGAGAGTCTCCTACTCCTATTTCTTGTGCAGATTTGGAACTTGACTCTGCAATATTCTCCAGATGTACACAAAATAAAAAACCGGACTTAGGAGAGGGACACTTACGACGTTTCTGTCCGACTTGGGCCGAAACGTCAAAGACACTCAGGAAGTTTACATATTTCGGGAAGAAAGGAGTAAAGACGGTGGGATAGAGTTTAAGGGTATGAGAAGGCTAAAGGTATGAGAAGGCTAAATACTGACCCAGTTGTTGGGGGGTTGTCGTGTGGTGTTGTCAGTGCCACCCTTGGAGTCAGCCCAGATGTAGTAGTCGGTGTATGGGTCCTCGCGAGCCACTGACTTTTGGAACCACTCGTGCTGGTCACTGGTGTGATTAGGTACGAAGTCCATAATCACTTTCAACCCTGAGTAGGGAGGAGAGAAGAGTAAATACAGACCTCCTGGAAGGAAACCTCCGAGGCTGCCGGAGCCACTGAAACCATAGTGAAATATGTTTAATGATATACTTACTGCCTTAGGAATATTACCCGACTCAGACTGAGAGATTTCATTACCTCACGTAAAAAATCCATCCTGTGTAATGAAACATGGTGGACAAATATAGCAAACTGTTGTTCCCACAATGTAAACGTAATATACATTAGTTACAGAACAACATGGATGTACCGATCTTTGTTTAATAAGAATGGAGGGGTAGTGGAATGGTTCATAACAAACACAAGTACACTCGCTGTGTGGAACTTACCTACTCTACATGATAAAATATTCCATGAAACATGATGTGTTTCATATATGAGGCAATGAAAGTCTGTAGACCTGAGCTGGGAGATATCAAATGGCCAATGAGAATATCGTCAGGAACTTCACTAATTGACAAGGGACTTTAACCTCTTGAATGGGTATAGTTGAGATAAAAACTGAGGACTAGTCAAAATGTAAAGATAAGTATTCAGAACAGTGTGGTAAACGTCCCATGAGATTCCATGCCAGTGTTAGTCGCCATTTTAAAAAAATGGCCACCATTCTGAAATATGTGTATACGTATATGTTGGTTGAATTACTGACAATATATAAAGTAAAAGGACACAAGTGCAACTAATGTGTCAAAGCTCCTGGAGAGCCAAACGTTGTCACAATAAAATGTCACATTAGTTGCACTTGTGTCCTTTTACTTTACATATTGAAATATTTAAAAAACTAGATAGTTGCTCCAGTGTAAGTTCTCTCCAAAATGGTATTAAATAAAAGTTGCTCAGATTTATGCCTAAAATCTTATTAGCCGAGTTAATTTTAGTTTGTATTAGGTTAATAACAAAAAAAAAACAATGTTTATTACAAAAGTATTTCCTCAGAACTGGTCTTCAAAATTATCAAATATATACAAGTTTATACTTTAAAACTGACTCGAACCTACGAACCTTAGGACAAGGTACGCAGTGCTTTAATAATCTACCCACACTGGACCAATACCTTGGCGTGTAGCATGCGCTACACGTTTGATCCAAGGCAGCCAGCTTTCAGGGAGAAGGCTTACAGCTTTTCATCTCATCCCCTGCATGCATCAGCCTTACTAGAGATTTGAACAATGCAAGGAATTCGCGAGAGGAATTCGCATGCTCTCGCGAATTCCTTGCATTGTTCAAATCTCTAGTAAGGCTGATGCATGCAGGGGATGAGATGAAAAGCTGTAAGCCTTCTCCCTGAAAGCGGCTGCCTTGGATCAAACGTGTAGCGGATGCTACACGCCAAGGTATGGTCCAGTGTGGGTAGATTGGTAAAGCACTGCGTACCTTGTCCTAAGGTTCGTAGGTTCGAGTCTCCTTCAGCCAGAGATCAGTGTTTGTGTATATTTCGCATGCTCTCGCGAATTCCTTGCATTGTTCAAATCTCTAGTAAGGCTGATGCATGCAGGGGATGAGATGAAAAGCTGTAAGCCTTCTCCCTGAAAGCTGGCTGCCTTGGATCAAACGTGTAGCGGATGCTACACGCCAAGGTATTGGTCCAGTGTGGGTAGATTGGTAAAGCACTGCGTACCTTGTCCTAAGGTTCGTAGGTTCGAGTCTCCTTCAGCCAGAGATCAGTGTTTGTGTATATTTCGCATGCTCTCGCGAAATTCCTTGCATTGTTCAAATCTCTAGTAAGGCTGATGCATGCAGGGATGAGATGAAAAGCTATAAGCCTTCTCCCTGAAAGCTGGCTGCCTTGGATCAAACGTGTAGCGCATGCTACACGCCAAGGTATTGGTCCAGTGTGGGTAGATTGGTAAAGCACTGCGTACCTTGTCCTAAGGTTCGTAGGTTCGAGTCTCCTTCAGCCAGAGATTAGTGTTTGTGTATATTTCGCATGCTCTCGCGAATTCCTTGCATATATATATATATAATATAATATTATATATATATATATATATATATATATATATATATATATAATATGTATATATTCAACAAACCAGCCGTATCCCACCGAGGCAGGGTGGCCCAAAAAGAAAAACGAAAGTTTCTCTTTTTAAATTTAGTAATTTATACAAGAGAAGGGGTTACTAGCCCCTTGCTCCCGGCATTTTAGTCGCCTCTTAAAAAACACGCATGGCTTACGGGGAAGAATTTTTCCCCCTTCCCCAGGGAATAAGGGGAAATAAACAAGAACTGGGAAAAAAATTAGCAAAAAACCCAGGGGGGTGTGTATTAAATGTTGTATATGTATGTGTAGTTTTGACCTAAGTGTAATTTAGAAGTAAAAAGACGTACCTTTTATTGCATTTTTTATGGCAGCCAAAGACACCACAATCCACCATCAGGTAAAAAAATTTACGGGCTCTCGTTTTACCTCATTTTGGAAAGGCGGTAGTACCTCCCGGGTGGGGGGCGGGTCTACCAACCTACTATACAAACCCAAATTTTAAACAAGGCAGAACAAGCCACATAGAGAGGGGAAATCTTTAGCTCTAAATCTTCTTACTCTCGTAAAATGTTTGCAAACAGCAACAGATAGAAGGTAAATTCTCTGAGGAAAGGCAAAGGTATCAATGGCAGACCAAAACCCGGGAGGGGGGGAAACCACCGCCCCCAAAAAAACCTCCCCCCCCGCCCCCCTAAACCCCCAGAGAAAGGGGGCCCGGGTGAGGGTACCACAGGGGGTGAACAGAAAACAATTAAATTTATTTTTTTTTTTTTTTTATTTATTTAAAATTTGGCACCCCTTAACAAGGTACAAAAAATACAGATAAGACAGCATCCCCAAAGCCATTTAAAATTACTAGCATACCCTTAAAACGGGCTGGTTTAAAAATTAATTTAAAAGATTAACTAAGCAAATGTTTGAAATCATTGAAAAAAACAAAAAATGTAAACAGATTCCCTATAAAGCACAAGTGGGTATTACAAAGACAGGCCCATAGGTTGTATGCATTGTTGTACATTCAGTAGAATGGATTATTCTGTTGGGTATGTTTTTAAAAAAATAATAAATTTAAAGTTGGGGGTTTTGGGTTTAACATTTATGTGATATAATTGTGAGAAACTTTTAAAGAAATAAAATTTTATAAGGTTCATTTTTATTAAAGTATTTTTTGGGTTTTTGGGGAGTAAGTGATCTTTGAGAAGAGACTTAAATTTTTAAAAACAGGTAGTGTTTCTTTTATTTTTTAAAACAGGTAAAATTTTCCAGTTTTTGGGGCCTTTTTATGTGAAATTGAGTTTTTGCATAGTTGGGGAGGGACACGGGGAACATCAAAGAGGGGTTTGTGCCTTGTGTTATGGTAAAGGTTTTCTTTTTGGGGTTGGGCAAGGAATTTTTTGGGGGGAGGGTTTAATATCAATTTTAAGTGTTCTATGTATGTAAAAAGGGCATTAAAAAAGAAAGGAGTTTTGAAAGGTGATTTGGGTTTTAGTGATTGAATTTTGGGAAAGGGTGTGCCCTATAGGGGGAAATTTTGTTTTTCTTTTCAAAACTGCAGCCTTTTGTTGGGTAATTAGTGGTCTGAGATGGTTCTTTTGTTGACCCCCCATGCAAAAATTTCCCAAAAGTTTGAAATAGGGGAAAATAAGAGGGGTGATATGGGGCCGGGGGGCGGGACTGGGGAACATAGTCCCGAAATTTTTCCCGATAGTATGCCTACAGTCTTGGGAAATTTTCTTTAGAAATTTTTTTTGTTTTAGTGTTAAAATTTTGATTTCTATTATCAAGGGGATTCCTAAAATTTTTCCCCTCGGGTTTAGCTTTGTGATGGGGAGATCCGTTTATCATTATGTTTAGAGGGAAAATCTTAGCTCGGTTACCAAACTAAAATGAATGGGTTTTTTGCCCAATGTTTTTTATCCCCCCACCCCAGGTAAATTTTTCTGTAATTTTTTTTTTTTACAGTTTTTGGCTACGTGACGGGGCTGGGGTGGGAGAAACTATGTATTTTTCCATCTGCAAATAGTGGGGGTTTGGGGAAAATTTCCCAAAGAAATTTGGTGGTCTTTTATGTATAGGAGAAAGAGAAAGGGCCAAGGACATTTCCCCCTGGGGGGAAAACCAAAATTTAAAATTGGTTGTGCAAAAGTTTTTCCCCCATTTTGCATCCCCAAAATTTTGGGCTTCTGTTGCTGGGGTTTGGGGGACTTGAGGTAGTTGAGGGAGTCCCCCTCTTTTTCCCAAAGTGTGCCCAATTTTAACGGGGGGAGAAAGTCATGGTTAACTGTATCAAAAGTTTTTAGTAAGCCCAATAAAAGACCCCAAAGGGGACTTTTTTTTTTCTCTATTGCAGTGTATATTTTTTTCTACCCATGTGTATAATAGCATCTTTAAATTTTTTTTATTTGGCCTAAATTCCAAATTGGCAGGGTTGATAGTTTGGGGAGAAAAGGGAAAGGGTAGATTCTTTTTATGAATTAATTTTTCGAAGATTTTTGAGAGGGGTGAATTTGGGGATTTGGCCTATATTTTATTCAACTCTGTTTGGTCTCCTCCTTTTTTGGTTTCCCCGGGGTGCCCCCTTGCTTTTTTGAGTACGTGGGGAAAGGTGGGGGATTCAATGGTTTTGTTAAAAAATTTTGCAATGTTTGGTGTTTGCATTTTTGTGACATTTTTTTTTGGTATAAAAAAAGGGTGGTAAGGTATCAAAATCTCCCCCCCTTGTTTTTTTAGTGTGTTTGAAAATTTAAGGGAGACTTCGTATGGGTTTTATCGGAGCTGGAACAGTGTGTTGGGGAAGTTGCCGGGGGAGGTAGTCATTTGGTGGGGTATCCTGATTTTGGGATTTTATTGGCAAGGTTTTTTTCCCTAAGTGGAGAAGAAGCCATCGGTCTATTTTGCTTTTTCCCTTGTTGGGGGGGTTTGGGGGGTTCATCTGTTTTTTGCAAATTTTTATTTCGCTATTTCGTGATAACTTTTTGTTCCTAAATTTCTGATGGGGTTTTTC